AGAGACGCAGAGCAACGAGACGGAAGGCCGCTGGCACCCCCCAACTACATTTTCACCCCCTAATTAATAGTTGGACTTCTAACTGTTGCTATGACACGCAAGAGATGGAGATTAGATCGGTGTTTAATGCAGGCATCAATTCACTGCTGCGTTAATAGCACAGAACAGACAGAACAAGCCTAACCCTTCATAAATTCTAAAATCATTGGGCCAAAGTTGTTGGCGCCAGAACGTTAGATGTTTTACCGATTGGAACCGCGAGGCTTGTACAGACAACACGGATAAAACTCGATAAAATTATCTGCGTCAGTAGTGACCCTTGAAGCTTCAAAACCGCCACAAGGAAAAAATCTGACGCTTGAACGATTCCTATGATTGTAATGTCCTAACCTGTGAATATTTTCCATCCTTGATATCCTTTTGTCTGTTGAGGAACCAATTAGGGATTTTATATTGTGCTGGATTCTGCATAATTGTGACAATCTTCTCAAAATCATCTTCGGAAAGTTCTCCTGCGCGTTTGGACACATCGATATCGGCCTTACGGCAACAGAGGAACGCAAAGCGTCGCCCAACACCCTGAAAAACGTAACGTCCAGATAAAAAACACTGCAATTCGCTCTGCTAGTAAAAATTCAACACATTGAAGAAACTTTTCAATGAATCATTTAAATTGAAAGTGATGAAACTTTACGCTTATCTTTACAGATCGACTAAAAATACCGCTAAATGCAGTAACTCGACTTTAGCATTGCTTGCACTCTTCTCATTTTATGAGCACCACCAAAAATCCCCCTTACGAAATTCAGTTCGAAGTCATGATGGGCACAGAAGCTGATAAAGCTTCTCCATTGATTGGTTGCCAAAGATTTCTCAAGACCACGAAGGATTTATGAGACAGGTTATCAAAAAGGCGAGGGAAAAATACATAATAACAAGAATGGTTGAATCCTACGGAATTAATATAAGGCAATAAATTTTAAGAAAAGAATCAGGCAAAAAATTCAAAGAAGCTATTCTAGTGCTATTTACTATACCATTTATTTTCACCTCAGTCTACACTTAATCCACACCTCCACTTAGTCCCACTTAGACATTTTGCAAGTGATCAGACGTGAAGATAGAGGAGTGGAAGCTGCTGGGTATAGGCAGAGCCCTTTTTCACCCTTAACCTCATCAAGCCATCACCATTAATGTGTGTGCAGACGAAAATAGTGAAAAAATGAAAAGATAGAGCAATTCACAATCGTGGACGATTAACAGGAGAGGTTATATTAATTGATTAGTAACATTAAACGCTTTAGCCAAGGTTTACCGATAGACCGAGAGGAAATGGATTACGCTGCTGTATTGTTCCCAGATAAGCATGGATAGGCTTAAAAAGTATTACTAAGTGAAACATAGTCCGCTCAAGGGAGGAAAGTATTAAAGAAAGTGTTACAAAATGAACATCAAGATCAAGAGAAGATTTGTGCGACAGAGTAATATGAGCCAACTTGCAGGAAGAAACTCTTCTGAAGCGCAGCACGAGAAGCACCTTTTTTTTTTTTGAATGTGAGCAAAAAACCATCAAAAATTTCTCTGAAGAAAATACTAAGAAGACAATTCCTCTCCGACTAACTTGCTCAACATCCATATCTCTCATCATTCCAATTCCAGCCAGAACTATAGAAAATGGGGGTTATCGGGGCTTCAAATAAATCCATTTCGATTTTGTTGAAGTTAGTGAAGAGACCGACCTCCCGATTACCACAAGTACGCTATTTTTCCTGACTAAAAGATTCATCTATTTGTTTTGCAGCACTTTGAGGTGAATTTTCAGGGGGAGAAAAACTGGAATACTAAGGCAATAACACCCGACCTGAATTTGAAAAAGTTTTCACGACTGATCGGATTCTAACTAAGACTTAACACACACGGTACACTCATGTAGCACCCAAAGCGGTGTGGAAGTGTGACCACATAAAATCTTTCCCAATTTCCACGTACTAAGCAAAATTGAACAAAAAAGGGTAAGTGAAGGTACAGGGTGATTCTCCTTTCAAAATCTTTGCCAAGACACTCAAGCGAAAAGTGACGCATTGAACATCTATCGCTTTACAAGCGTAACTAATATTTCATTACCGAGCACTCGTCCTTGCTGTTGACCAAGAGAAGCCCGCTTGAAAATACTTCAAAAAATGTTTGTAGTCAGTTTGTACACTGCATAACAACCCCGTTGAAAGTCACGTGAATTCTGACGAGTTCTGAACAAAATGTATCTTTTTACGCAGCTTCATGGTCAAAAGGCAACCTTCATACACCGCATGATGCGGATTTTAGCAAACGAGATAACGTGCTATTGCTATCAGCACTAGGATAACAATAGATGTACACCGAACTGGAGGAAATCGGGCTCATGAGATAAAAGAATAAAACAAATTACCTTGATAGCGGTGAGAGCGTACGGCACCTTGCGATTACCATCGATGTTTGTGTTCATAACACGATGAATGTGTTGGAACTTCTCTGGTATTATCAACGACATGGCGTTGTGTCTATTACCTCTACAACAAGAAGAACATTATCAAACACAATTAATATTACGAAGAGAACACAACCGCTATTAACCGTAACAGTAACGATCACAACCGAAAACGAAAACGGAATGTAGTTTGACATGCACTTGCAAAAGTCTTTTGAAACCACGAGGTCCTGATAACCAACAGCTTCGCCTTTCTTACAACATTTTCAGGCGTTGCTGCTCTCTACACTATATGGAACTTTTAAAGCTACTGTCCAGATTCAGTAAATAAGGCAGAAACCATATATTCAGCAATTTTTGGAAAGCATGAATAGTACTTGGGGACTTTCCCTTCAATGAGACCTAGTAAGAGCTCCCAAAAGATAAAAAGAGTTGAATGATACGCCCTTGAGTAAGAGTAATTATCAAAATCAAAAAGCGTCATAGTATAAACGATTGCACAAAGAATTCCTTCACTAACATTTAAAATAATCTCGTTACGAAGTAGGAAATGCAGGAAAATCAGAAAAGCGGAAAGCGCTGGTGGTTACGGTAGGTTTTCTTTATAGGACGAATAACGCGAATTTTGCGTTGTCCTTTAATTTATAGCTCGGACCTTGCAGTTCGGTCGCCCTTTAATCAAATTTTATCGTTTTTTATTAAACAGAAGCAGTTTCGTATTTTTCTAGCTTGTTATAATTCTGTAATTAACAACCAAACTAACAGAAATGTTTTCGATAGATGTTCCTTGGATGGGGTTTTTTATTTAGTTGCAGTTCATCATTCAGTGTTTTCTTCTTGTAGTTGATTACGGTAGCGTGTTGGCAGATTGCGCTTTGCAGAGGACGCGCCGAAGTTGACGAGGGTCTCTCCATTTGTAGCAAGCGCGGACGACATTTCTTAGTCTCATCACTGTAGCAACCCGTCTGAGGGATCGAAAGCCGGACGACCTCCTCCAAAATGGGAAGTAAGTCATCTTAAGCAAGTTTTTCACTAAGCTGTATTGATTCTTATATTTCGTGTTGTTCTTCCAAGAGGTCTTGATAGGGGTTTTCTTTATGAACTTAGTGAAAATTCGTGAGTTGAATGTTCTGAACTGATGAGGCTAACCACTTGGAAGGATATTACACCAGCTGAATTTCCATCTTACTAATATGTAATTAACGACAATTCCTTGTTTCAGTAAAGTTCCTCGAGTTTGTGAAGCCGTTTTGCGGCTTTGTGCCGGAGGTATCGAAACCGGAAAGGAAGATACAGTTCCGTGAGAAAATGCTATGGACTGCCATCACACTTTTCGTGTTCTTAGTCTGCTGTCAAATCCCACTTTTCGGTATGTTCAAAGCTTTATTCGATTAAATTTGTAAGGGGCTCTAGCCAGGGTGAGGTTGTCAGTTAAGCATTATTGCTGATCTAACAATAGGAAACGTATTTTGGATTGAAGACAGCATTGAGGTATTCTTTTCTTCCCAGCCGTACTGTTTGATCTAACCTAGTACACTAATTAGTTTAGAATTACCAGTCAAATAAAAGTTAAAGCGTTGATATTGCTGCTATCATAGGCAATGAGATGTAAAGGAGTCTTTCAAAAGTACTTCTTTGTATCCTAAGAAATCCAGTTTCATGGCAGAGCGGGCAACGATTCCTTTAGAAAGTCTGGCGATGGCGGAAGGAAACCGCGCTTATCCCCAGAGCCTTTTTAGAAGCTTCCATTTACCGGCTGAATTACATAGTTCTCTATTTGATCTTTTTCCAGGTATTATGTCCACTGATTCTGCTGATCCGTTCTACTGGCTACGAGTTATTTTGGCTTCCAATCGAGGTACATTGATGGAGCTAGGAATTTCACCCATCGTAACATCTGGTTTGATCATGCAATTGCTGGCTGGTGCGAAAATCATCGAAGTTGGAGATACGCCGAAGGATCGAGCCCTCTTCAATGGAGCCCAAAAATGTTAGTTAATTGACTAATTCAAGATTGGTTTGTCTTTCTCTTACGACTTCAGCTCTTCTTATCTGATCCTTTCAACGTTTTAGTGTTCGGTATGGTGATCACCGTTGGACAGGCAATTGTTTACGTGATGTCTGGACTGTATGGAGATCCTGCTGAAATTGGTGCCGGAATTTGCTTGCTTATTGTCG